TTCGAGAGTTATCGTGCGCACCAGCCAGCCAGCCAAACGGACGGACGGGTATCGCTAGATCGACTCCAAATGTCCTGAAACGGATTTGGTTCAAAGAGACCTAGGATCTAAAAACGTCATTTCGATGTGGCACGTTTAGACCACATCAAAAGATATAGGTCGCATTTATTATCCGATTGAAATGAAATTTTGCAAACAATACTTGTTTGACCCTATTGCAATTGGTGATAATCGGTTCAAATTCAGATATAGCTCCCATATACATCTTCAAACGACTTCGGCCAATATCATCAAATGGTCAATAACAGTCCAAATGACCTGCATTTTGGCACATCCAACCCAGAATTCGGTCGAGAAGCAAGTACATAAGATGTTGAAAAAATCGGTTTTGGTATAGCGATAGCGCCCATATATATGTTTTATCCGATTTAGGGTTTAAAGTCCCTCACACGCGTAAAATGCACTTCATAAGCATGATATATGGTGATATATCATATACCTCTCGCAAATACATATGCCAAATTTTATCAAGATCGGTTCAGATTAGGATATAACTTCCTTTTATATCTTTACCCGATATCAGGTTTATTGTGCACCAAATGACCAAATAGATTGAATTTTGGCAATTTCAAGTGAATTCATCGTAGAAACAAGTACTTCACATTTGCTGAAAATCGGCTCAGATGTAGCTAAAGCTCCCACATATATGTTTCATCCGATTTGGTGTTAAAGTCCCTCACATGCGTAATATGCCCAATTTGAATAGATTTTATACCCTCCACCTTGGAAAGTAGGGTATATTAACTTTGTCTTTCCGCTTGTAACATCCGTAAATATTCGTCGAAGACCCCATAAAGTATATATATATTCATTATCAGCATAAAATCTAAGTCGATTGTCTGTCCGTCTGTCTGTTGAAATCACGATACAGCCCACATTATTTGACGTAAAGCTTCAAAATTTAGCAGAATAATTTGTACTGTGTCTAGAATGGTTGGTATTGAAAAATTTTTTTTGCCATATTTTTTCACGGATTTGTCTGAAAATTGGTATTTGTAGGCCATAATGGGTCTTAGTTCGTATGGCGAAATATTGTATGTATGGGTAAACGCTTTGGTATAGCCCTCATATAACGGTACCTCCAGATTTTTGGTATTTTGATGATTTTTGCTGGGGATTGGATTGGTATTTGTTGGTCCTAATGGGTTCTAGCTCCGTTGCCGTTCACGTTTTTGTATAGTCCCATATAGCGGTACCTCCCGATATTCGATATTTTGATGATTCTTCCAACATTTTCCCACGAATATGTCTAAAAATTGGTATTGCATTCTAATGTTTCCTTTACCCTAAGGTGGAGGGTATTAAAAATTCGGCCCGTTCGAACGTTATGTTTTTTTTACTTGCTTCATATTCATCCGAATTTTACCATTTGGTGAAACTTGATTTGGTATATCTATCGAAGTCACATTATAAACTATATACACTATGAACTATATCGAAGTCATATTAAGCCCTATACAGCAATGTTATTTGGTTCATAGTTGGTATGATCTACTTCATTTAAATTCCCAATATAAACTTTTTTTTAAGGGAGCTCTACAAAATACGAATAGTGGTGTAGGGTATCATATAGTCGGCCCCGCCGACTTTTGACCTTTTCTTACTGTTTTTTGAAACTTAAAATATCCCAATACTTATACCAACGCAAAATCTGATGTTAATATGAGATCTATTGTAACACTCCTTTTGATACCTTCCCCACAAAAAGTCAATATTTTGAATAATTATAAGTCTCTTAACATGCGAATATTTCTATCAACCCTAGTTCCAATTTGAATATTGGATATGACGGTCAATATTTTCAAAAAAAAAAAAAAAAAAAAAAAAAAAAAAAAAAAAATTAAATAAAATAAAATAAAACTTATATAAAATGGAGGATGTAGTCCAAACATGGCCCCTAGATGTGAAGGGAACAAAATGGACCACTCCTTCGGTATTTCGTCCATAACTGAATAATTTGAATAATCATACGCAAGTCAAGCTATATTTCAATAAACTGAAATTGGCTAAGGTTGCACACCCGTCGGCAAAACCGACAGATACTTTTATTTGTGTCTATTAATGTGGACTTTTCGTTAACGAAGTGTATTACATTGATTGATTCCCCGCGACTTTGATCTTTTCCTCATAAATCCAATTTCTTCATAAATACAATTTCACAATTGAATTCATAAATTTTCCAATAACCACACTTTTTCAAAACAATTCATGATTACAAAATCATAAACAATCAAATAGAGTGTATATCATTCGATTCGACAATACATCAGTCGGGCAGATGTTTGAGATATAATTTCTTGGAAAACACTTTGGAATTTCATCAATTCACTTGGTGTAAGTGTCAGCGTCGATGTACTCACCACCGGCGGGCGAGAACTGAATCGAAAAGCTTTCAAATTATCTTCATAATTTACACATTTCTATTTCGAAGATAACATTTTTCATGTTGAGGGGGGAACGAAGAAAGAGGGTGCGCGTTGACCTCCCCTTAAATTAAACACTTGTTAAATTTCAATTCGAAAAAATAAATAACATTCAAGTGCAGTCAGTGGCGGCGAATTGCAAACATATGGATGGCATTTTTCGTAATACGAGGTGACCCAATTTCATATTTTCTCTTCGCCTATGTCTTCTTGGCGGTAAAAATTCTCAAGCAATTCATAAACACTTAATTTGCTTACGAAATATTGTTCACAGCACCATCTCAGCTTTTGATGAAGTTATTTCGAAAATTTATTCAAAACAATTTTCAACCAGTCATCAATAGGAGGGTGAAGATGTTAGGCTGTTAAATTGAATATTTCGTTGTGTTTTATGAACTTTATCGAATATTTCATTCATATGGTTAATGTTTCGATAGCTACGCAGCCTTTGTGATAACACCGCCATGTGAGAGCAGAACTAGAAGATAGGCTAGAAAATACATATGCCCACGCTGCAATTGTGTGGCCCTTTTCACAGCTGTCAGGCCCCAACCGATTCAAGTATTTAACATTTTTGTTGTTTTTATTTCGAATTTGATTTCCAGTTTTTTCATTTCTTTTTTTCAATTGATTTTTTGTTTTCTTTTGGGAAATCTCATGGACAATTGTATCAGACAACACCTCGTAAACAATTTTTAATATTATATTATATTCTTAATATTAAAAATTTTCAAAACAACACTGTTGCTGTTGTCATAAATTTGTTAAGTGGTGATGTTTAAAAAAACCTCTGTTATTTTAAATCGTTTGTTTGTTATTTTTTTATTAATTACCGTATATTGCTCTGATATTTTTTTTGCTATAACATTTGAATTTTATTTAATGAGAGAGGCTATGTGGAGGCTTATTACATAATGTCGGGAGTGAATTCGAATAGTTACTCGAAAAATTCATTTTTCGTACATCCTTCAAAAGACGCAAGACTCAAATAGATAAAGGATTTTCACAAAACGCTATTGAAAATTCATCGCTTCTTCAGATCTTCTGAGATAAGTTTATTAGGTCTTCTATGGGAAGTTTCCGAGATCTTCCATAAAAAGACCTTCTCGTTTTCTAAGTGAATAAATCCAGGACGAAGTTCTAAAGGTCGTCTTTAAGATAACTTCCAAGTCATCTAACATGAGAAGGATTCGAGTCTTCCGTGTATGGATTACCAAGTCTTCTTTGACAAATTAGTCCAGCCTATGAAAACCTTGCGGTTTTCAATGTGAGACCTCCAGGATTTGTATAAGAAGTTCTCCAGGAGAAGACCTTCGGGTCTTCAATGAGAAGATCTTCAGGACTTTAAAGAGAAGACCTTCAGGTATTCAATAAGAAGACCTCCAGGTCTGCAATAAGAAGACCTCCTGGTATTCAATAAGAATATCTGCTGATCTTCTGTGAGACAACTGCGCGCGCTTTTGTGTGAAAAGACCTCAAGCTCGTATGTGAGAAGACTTCCAGCTCTTCTGTGAGAAGACTTTCAGCTCTTCGATAAGAAGACCTTCAACTCTTCGGTGAGAAGACCTCCAGAATTTCTACGAGAGAAGACCTTGCCAGCTCTCTTCTATGAGAGAAGACCTGGCCAGCTCTTTTATGAGAGAAGACCTCGCCAGCTCTTTTCTATGAGAGAAGACCTCACCAGCTCTCTTCTATGAGAGAAAACCTCGCCAGTTCTTCTATGAGAGAAGACCTCGCTAGCTCTCTTCTATGAGAGAAGACCTCGCCAGCTCTATTTTCTATGAAAGAAGACCTGTCCAGCTCTTCTATGAGAGAAGACCTCGCCAGTTCTTTTATGGGAGAGGACCTCGCCAGCTCTTCTATGAGAAAAGACCTCTAGCTCTTCTATGGGGAGGACCTCGCCAGCTCTTCTGTGAGAAACCTCCACGTCCTTTATGAGAAGAAGTCCATTTCTTCTATGAGAATACCTCCAGCTCTTCTGTGAGAAACCTCCAGGTCATTTATGAGAAGACGTCCAGGTCTTCTATGAGAGAGGACCTCGCCAGCTCTTCTATGAGAGAGGATCTCGCCAGCTCATCTATTAGAGAGGACCTCGCCGGCTCTTCTATAAGAGAAGACGTCTAGTTCTACCATGAGAAGACCTCCGGATCTTCCATTAGAAGGCCTCCGGGTCTTCCATTAGAAGATGTACAGGTTTTCCATTAGAAGACGTCCAGGTCTTTCATTAGAAGACGTCCAGGTCTTCCATGAGAACACCCCCAGGCCTTACATGAAAAGACCTCCAGGTCTTAAATGGGAAGATATCCATGTCTTCTATGAGAAGACCTCCGGAACTCATTAAATACACGAACTTTTGAACTCATTAAATACGCGATTTTTCCGTAAACATTTCTCATACGGTTTTTATCAACCTCCATTAAGTTCTACCCGTTGTTTAAACAATCCATATAAACAAAATAATATTCCAAATATATATACAACAATTTTCCAAATTTACGATCACAATTTCGTACTTACCACAACAACAGGAAGCACCAGACCAATTAAATACAACAAGAAATTATTGATTGTGGATTCTTTGAAAGGATGCATCAGCGATTCATCGTCACAAAAGAAACCGCGTTTATACGACTCGCCCCACAGGAAAAAGCACAGAATGGGGAAGAGAACTGCAACGATAATAAAAAGCAAAACAAAAAACGAAATTAACAACAAATGAAAACAAACAATTAACTAAAAAGAAAACTTAATAAATATTTTGACAGCCGCATTAACTCCGCCAACCAATGCACATCAGGGCTGGAGAGAAGAACATTTATAAATTGTTTGTTTACAACATTAAAACAACAACAACCAAAAAGCTGGGAAGGAAAACAGTTTTTAAGGCAAAACAAGCTTTTGTGCTTTAGTGTTTCGAATTGTAAAGCAACAAATTAAGTCATAAAAATCTTCATTGATCAACTTCCTCAATTAACTAATTGGACCGAATAGTGGCGATTGGCAGGGGGAAAATGAAACGTTTATGCTTTTTCAGCCGAATCGACCACACATCCAGCCGGGTTCCACTGCCCAAACTTTGATGGGATATCTTTTTCAGGGAATTTTTTTATTGTGCTTTTTTTTCTTCGGTTCCGTTGATGCATTTTTCATGTAAATAAGGAAGTCGTGGTAGATATGTGGAATCACTTTTTTAATATTATCCAGAAATTGCTGGACTGGCTGGCTAGAGTAAACAATTTGTTCTGCAGCTATTTTTAAACAATTCCATGACAATACGATTTGAGTTTTTTCCTTTTTTTTTTTTGAAAGGCAATGATGCAGCATCGTTTTTTATTTTCGTTACACTTAAAGAGTCAATTCCAAGGATCCACACTTGCCGCCATATGGCAAGACAAGTGTGTGTGTGTGTCCATGTGTCTAATTTCCAAGTGTTTAGAAATAGGATCTCAAGCATTTCATATTTCAAAGTGACAAAGTTGGAAGCGAAGAACGATCTCAATCGGCGGATGTTGAAAATTATTGGTAATGAGGCGTCAAATTGTCTACGACTGTCTAGTCCGGAGATTTGCTTAAGAAATTGGAGATTTGATTTCATCTCTTTTCTCAAGATCTATGACAATTAGAAAAATAAGTTCCCACAATTGAGTAGAAAAAATGAAGACAGTATCTAATAGACTGTTATATGTTCTATTTATGATTTTATGGGACATAAATTCACAGTTTTGGACCACATTTATATAACAATCGGCAATTTTTGGGCTATGCCAAAACTTAGATATACAAGTGTTGAGAAGTACCATATGACTCCTAATAAATGAAACACGGACCTTTATGAACAATTGTCGGGCTATACAAGAATGTGTACCGATATTGTTTTTACGTTTTTTGAGCTTTATCTAAACTTGGACCGTTAAAAATATTTCCCAACATAGAACCCAATTAAAATTTTCTGAACTTAACAAAAATTTTCGGAACTTATCGATTTTTTAAGCTGTATCAAAAAATGTTATGCTTAATCAATCCCTATATAAACAAGTGAAAAATAAAAAATGGTAAGTGCGACCGGGACGAACTTTTAATACCGTAGAACATATCGAAGGAAATTAAAAAATTTCAAAAAAAAATCCGAAAACTACCACTTAAATGAAAACAGTTTTATGGGGACTATACGAAGACGTGGACATGTTTACGAAATTTTTTGTCATAGGCTGTAGTGCCCATTACGAACTTCAAATACGAAATTTGTTACAATTACGGTGAATAGTGTCGTAAAAATCATGAAAATACGTAGTATCGGGAGGTACCGAAGATGTGGACCTGCGCAGACAATTTTCTGGCCTAGGTTTGAAACAATTCCGGTAAATAATGTTGCTGAAATCAGCTATACGAAGAAGGGGACCTGCATATAAAAATTTTTGTCATAGGCTGTAGTACTCATAACGAACTTCAAATACCAAATTTGAAACAATTCCGTTGAATAGTGTCGCTAGCATCGTCAAAATGCCGAATATAGGGAGGTACCGTTATATGGGGACTATAGGAAGACTTGGACTTGTATACAAAATTTTTTGGCATAGGCTGTAGTACTCATTAGGATCTTCCAGTACGAAATTTGAAACGATTCCGGTGAATAATGCTGTTGAAATCATCAAAATACCGAATATGGGGAGGTTCCGTTATATGGGGGCTATGCGAGTACTTGAACCTGCATACAAAAATTTTTGTCATAGGCTGAAGTACCCATTACGAACTTCAAATACGAAATATGAAATAATTCCGGTAAATAATGTCGCTAAAATCATGAAAATACCGAATATCCGGAGGTACCTTTATATGGGGGCTACACGAAAACGTGGACCGACGTGGCCCATTTACGAACTTAACCTGCTTTCTGGTAAACAATGCATGTATGCAAAATTTTAGCCTTTTATTTCAATTCGTACGAAAGACAGCGTGATTTCAAAAGACAGACAGACGGAAAGACAGACAAACAGACAGATGGACATCGCTAGATCGTCGTAGAATTTTACGCTGATCCAGAATAAATATACTTTGTAGGGTGTTTTATGAATATTTAGAGGAGTTACAAACGGAATAACAAAGTTAATATACCCTCCATAGAATGATGGCGGGTATGAAAAAGCTATTAAGTTCCGGGCCGAGCCGAACTTTTTATACCCTCTATAATTTGGAAAATAACTCATGTAAAAATATGACTGTAAATGCCGAAATTCCAATATTCGGGGTGTGCGTTACTCCTACTATCGGGAGTGACCAATCCAAATTTCATAAAATTCTGTAAAAGTCTTGGCTACAATCAAAACAGCGAATATCGGGAGCATAGGGGCCCGATAGGGAAAATTGTTCTACATAAGCAGAAGGATCCATTGTGGAATCCCAATACTGATTATACCCTCAGCCTTTTGGCTAGTTTTACCCAAACCAGTCATATGGCTAGAGAGGGTATATATCATTTGATATTGCCACAGCGTGCCTCATTGAAATAACGATTTTAGACCCTAGTTTTCTTCGGATAAAATCCGATTTAAGACACTTGGAGTCGATCTAGTCGGTGTCTGTCCGTCCATAACTCTCGAAGAGGATATCGGATTTAGTCGAAACTTGGTACATCGTAATATTATTATCAAACTTATATCGAGTTCAGAGATGGGCAATACCGATCCACTGCTACCTTTCACACAAAATATCAATTTTTTTCAAAGAAAATAATTTACTGCACAGAAATAGGAAGGATAATCCGATCTTGCCCCAACTTTGCAAATCTTAATATTTGTATCAGTGCTAGTTTAGGTGCGAAAATGGTCCATATCGGCCGATCTTTGAATACCCTCCACCATTTGGAACGAATTTGGCAATTTAAAAAAAATCGACATAGAATTTTATGCTGATCATGAAAATATATAATTTTTGGGGTCTAAAATGTATCTTTCGAGGTGTTACAAACGGAATGACAAACCATACAATGGTGGAGGGTACGAAATAAAGTAGGTTAATAAAATTTTACTCAAACGTGTATTATGTTTGCAGGACTTTTGGTATTGAAAATCGGTCATGTAGGTGCACGTTTTTGAATAGCCCCCTTAAAACGGCACCTCTCGATATTCGGTATTTAGACGATTTTAGCGACATTATTCACCGGAATTGTTTCAAATTTGGTATTTGAAGTTCGAAATAAATAATACAGCCTATAACAGAAAATTGTCTGTACAGGTCCACGTTTTGGTATAGCCCCCATGTAATGGTACCTCTCGTTATTCGGTATTTTTTAGCGACATTATTCACAGGAAATGTTTCAAATTTGGTATTTGAAGTTCGTAATGGATAATAGAGCCTATGACAGAAATTTGTCTGTAGAGGTCCACGTTTTGGCATAGCCCCTATATAATAAAGCCGCCCTACATTCGGTATTTTGATAATTTAGCTACATAATTCGCCGATTGTTTTCATGTTTGAAAATTGAATTTTGTTATGGCTTATAACAAAAGTTACCTATGCCGGTTCACATCGATGTATGACCCTAATATAACGGCTACATTCGGTATTTTTAAGATTTTATCGGATTTTATTTTTTTGAAAATTGTCAAATTCGTTCGTTACCGTTGTTTTTTTGACTTTTTTCATAAATTTTATGCTTATGGTGTTCAAAAAATGTCAAGTGTAGTACAAAAAAGTGTATAATATTAAATACTACAAAGAGCTCTTAGAATTGCATACAACATAGCAAACTCATTCGTTATATCTAGCATTTTAATGGCTGGGGAATATGTTTCCCATTTAATAGCCAGGAAATATAACATTTCTCCATATTTAATGCCTTAAAAACTTAAAGTAATTAGAAGTCATTGTAAATCATAAAAATTAATTTTAATTTTAACACTAAATAAAATCTTAATTGGCATTCAAAACCATTTGCCAAAACTATCATCATCATCGCCTTTGACATTGTCATAAAAAGAAGGCGACGCCAATTAATTAAGCAAAACATAAAAATTGAATTCCAAAAAAAAAAAAAAAGAATATTTCCAAACATAACTTTGACATTGCTGCAATGCCTTGAATTTATTCCAAATACCGGCTGTTTGCCACCACTCCAACGCTTTACTAACTTGAACTGCAGCAAGTTCTCCAAACTGAGGCAACACAACAACAACTACGACGACATCTGCCAGAGAAGGTTGCGCCAGTCATTAAACTGGAATACGGGGACCCTTAGAAAATTCAACAATTTCATACAACATGTAAATGGTGGGGTATGTTCTTTGCTTGTCGCCAACAACAATCATGGATGCATGTAATTAAAAGAGCATTTGGAGTTTGTGAAAGGAACAGAACACCACCCCACCCCATACCAGACATACACTGGGTTGCGCACTTACGTATTTCATGCTACAATTGTTAATTGTTGGGGTGGATGGGAGACGTTTGTCTCCTCTATGGGTCTCTACTTAATAGGACAACATTTTTAGAGTTGAAAACTAAAAAGCGAAAAAAAACATTGTTCAAATTGTGTGGGTGACTGCCATCAGAATTGTTTGATGCGTTAGTTGGTTGCAGCCATAAATTTCAATTGAGCGTAATACCTGCAGAATTGTCTGCAAACAAATAAAAGGCAATGTGACAAACAACAAGAAAAACTCAGCTGGTTTAA